AAGACGAGAGACATATATCGGGGTCGCGGGAGTCATTAATTTAGTGTATCGTGGCAGGTAATCTCGCTGCAACTCGCCGGCTCGCCGTTTCTTGGTAGCTGTCGGAAATAGATCAGCCCACCCGTCAAGTACTTTCAATGTTAGTGCATACTAAAAACCGAATGTACCAAAACGTGTTTCGCAATTATTTACCATTTTAACGCGTCAGTTCAATAAGCATCCTTATTCATATCGCAAGAGAGTCGCAAATATTATCGTGGTATTAATCGGTTTCAATGTTTCTACATTGTGCGAATGTCATATTCCCAAAAACAGCTATGGAATGCATAATAAATGCAGACAGCATTGTCTTAGCAGGATGGATGTCTGTCTAAATTACCCGTCGATTAGTTTCTGGGTAATATCGTTTAGTATTCTCCAGTTAGTACAATATGATACTTAATGTGAAAAAATCGGATGCAATCAATTGGTATGTTGCTTTTAAATGATATTGTCAGTTTTACTTGTTTACCATTCATATCGCGTATATTTTGGAAGCAATTGTTTAATTCACATACTTTGATAAAGTGTAAAAATCATCCGCGTTCGACTTTCTAGATGGTGAGGTTTTATAAGAAAAATTATAACTTGTACAAACAGCCTTGAAGCGTAACTTGATTCAATGAAGAACGCTAAATACACTGATGACAAAATGGTAGACTCATTCGCACAAGTGTCTTAATTTGTAAATATTAAAATTAATTAATCTGTTATTATTTTTATTATATATGTTTACTTATATACAATATAATCACACTTTTACTAGTATAATATATAACAAAGATCTATTAAATACTTACTCGTTATATTAAAATGCTTCCTGTTTATTTAAGAGAAATGGAAAATAGTAATTTTATAATTAAAAGCTCGCGTTATCTTTATTATGGATGAATGAGAATAAAATTATATGAATATATCCCCAATAAAGGTATCAAAAAATTATGATTTTAATAAAAAAAGTTATTTATTACAAAAACTATCTATAATAATTAAGTTGCAAAAGAAATATTGTATTTATTGAAGACGTTCATCTTATTCGTGCTGTAATCTAGCGTCTGATCTTATATATATTAATAAAAAATTCCTAAATTATATAGTAATGGAAAAAAGCATGTCCTAACACGAATAGATACATAACGCTATTTATAATCTTCATTATTTTGACAGCGGCTTACCGAATCGTTATAATAAAACGTGTTTTTTAATTACCAATCATCAAAGCCTCGATCGTGAACAATGTAGAGTGAATGAACATTATGAATATATAGAAAAACCTGAACACTTCCACAGTCAGCGGTGATGTCTTCAATGAATTGTCGTTAAAATTCTAACGTCGCCTCGTCGCGCCACCAGCGGTGAAATTTACCAAAAACTCATATTTTTTTGCACATTGCAATCCGTTGAGAAAATGGTCGACTAAATGTCATTTTTTGTTACGAGAACAATTGCCGGCATCGGTACATACTGAATGGAAAAAAAATGTAACATATGGGAGCATTTTCGATTTATTCCACGAGAAGCATTTGTTATTTTCTTTTAAAGTTCACGATGTACATAATTGTTTGGTTTCAAATGAACCGACTCTTTAGTAATAAACAACTGCAATCACGTTTTCATAAATATAAGAATCATGTTTCTAATAAAAAAATCACTTGGAAATAATAACACAATCTATTTTTATTGCTCAGTAGAAGAATATATACAATTACTTATTACTGTATATATTTATATTAGTAAATTATACTTCAATAAAGAAAAATCTTAAATATATTGTTTATTAGAATAAATTAGAACGACATGTTTTTATTCCTAAGAGATAATTTATAATAAAATTTATGTATGAGATGCTATACTCCTTAATAGTTTTTATTTTAACATAATTAAAAACCTGCAACTTTAATATGCAATTAATAATAAAGTCCTTTTTATATTAAAAGTCAATGTCTAAATCTTTGGGTCCGTTTTATTCTTATTAAGAGTCCTAAATCCATTTTATCACCTTCCAAATAAAGTGAGAATTTACCGGATTGTCGCAGCATCACGGCATTGTTTCTGTGATTTGTGACCGCGAGCGACGAGCGAGAGGCAAATATAGCGTTCCCGTGCAACGGAAAGGGATAGAATATGTCCTAAAAGATAATTACAATGGGCATCACCTATAGCTTGTTAGTCTTTTGAAATTTAATTCCCACGGATGGAAATACTTCAAATAACTCTTCACGCCGGCATTGAGTTGGACATCTAAGTTACGCGGATGGCTGTCTGTTTGTTCACGAGTTATTGCAATTAGTTGAGTCAGTAAAAACTTTGACGGTAGACTAAGATAAGTAGGTCTTGGCTGTTAAAGTAACACTTTATATGTTCTACATCTATATAGTCAGGATACACATGTGCATGTCAGTTATTCTTCAGAGTACTTTTAGTAAGCAATTTTCTACCGCGTTTTTTTTTTCTTGACCTCAAATTAAAGTTTTATTATTAGTTGAGATAGAATTAGCATAAACGAAACAAAAATGTTAACATTAAGTGACATTTTTTGCATAGACGTACGTAATAAAATAAAGGAAAATTATGATGTACATTGGTTATTCAGCTCGCGTACTTAAGTAGTTGGTGGTGGATAAGAACACTGCGATGGTCACGTTAGGTGATAGAATACTTTTGTTATTATTTTAATTTAAATACTCGTTATTATACAAAATATCATATATATATTTTTTTATAATATGGCCTTCATCCGTGCACAAAAGTGCACAGTATATCCTGCCAGTGTCGAGTAGATTGGAAGAGCATATATTTTTTATACATGAATATTATTTTCATGACATACGTCAATGATATGTCAATTAGACAGATGGATTTGACATGACGTCTGGTATTGTAAATCAATCCTATGAATTTGTATCAGATGGAACGTAGTAATGAGTGGTAATATGCTTCACGGATGATTGCACAACCGAATAATGTTGAATATGAATGGACATAAACAAGCCCGCAATCAGAACTGTTTATCACACGGACACAATACAGCGGTGCTTACTAACTGTTATCTAAGATCTTTGCGTTGCACCTTATACTCGAGAAAAACTAGTTTAGCATACAAACACACAAAGTGGGCGAAGATCTGATAATAAACGCAATTACGCTAGTACGTGACACCTCGTTGGAGTTTTATCAGATGTGTACACAAGCTCACAGTTGGGAGCGTCTTCAATTATTGTGTATGAAGCTTGTTATGCTCGGTAGAAAAAGGTTTTATAGCGAGTGTCGCGATTAAAGATCTGTGGACCGAGGTCGCCTCGAATTGTTACGAGTGATAGATCTGTTTAACAGATGATAGAGACACTCGTTGAATAGAGGAAGCTAGGTTCTGAATAGTATGAACTATATATTCGTCACAAAAAAATATTATAAGGTTGAGGGGGGTTTGGCGAAAAGAAACAATATTGATTGATTTTGTCAATAGTTTATCTATATATTTTAATGAATAGTTTCAATACAGATGTCAAATAAATAGTTTCTGTAACTTCACAAAGCAAAGTAAAAGTCAGTGTCCTGTTGATTATACATTTCAAAATATCGGCCATAATGTGTTATTTTAAAAAACCGGTGTTGTCATATAGAAACTTAAAATGGCTTACATAGATTTTAGTAAAATTTTTAATGAGCTTAATAATAATGAATTTCATGGAAAATTATAATCATTTATAATTATATATTTTGTATTTTAACTAAATAATTATCAACTATATATTACAATTTTTAACTTACAATTAGGTTTTTATCAATCGCTTATATTTTTGCGTGAGTTTAGTTGCTCCTTTTTCGAATTACATAAGAATGTATGTAGTATTTTAAAAATAATTATATTAGTGTTACATTTAAATTTATGAAATGAAGATCAGTGATAATACTTTTGTTTTTTTTTTTATTTTGTTTAATTTCAAACAAATTTAAAGAAACAACTAAGCACACTGTTGTCACAGCACAATTGACAAAACATATTTTCAAAATATGTTGATTAGTAAACACGTAAATATACCTTATAAGTTGTATTTACATAGTAAGTAAATATTAAATTTTATCGTATTATTATTAAAGAGTGGTAAAAACAAATTAATAGAGAAATTTCAATGAAAGGGACCTTATTTTTAGTTCCGAAACATGGGAATTACTTGAACAATCACATTCCATTGAAACTGTAGTACCCAATTTTACTACAAAAAAAAAATAACAATTTTGAAAATTTTGTAAACAATTATATAAAAGTTCATGTATTTAATTTATGTGTAAGTTATATATACTTCTATAAAATTACGAACTTAAATATTATTATAATAATAATTGATATTTAAAACCAAAAATAATAAAAGCCCCTTTCATTTATATATATAAGTGATCTAAACCTATTGCTATTGCAGTGGAGTGTCTAATGTGTAACTATTGTGTATCATACTACTTGTTCGGGATGTGACGTCACTCGTCTCATTGCATAATCTGTGCTACAAGCTGTTCAACTCCTCACCAGGTATATAGCAACACTCAGAAGTAGTCGTAACGTAATACATAGAAATAAAATAATTATGCACGAAACAAAATGCCTCGAACGCTCCCATCTCACCATAGATTTCAATATTGAATATCATTCGAAGAACCAGAACTATATGTATCAAAAATATATCTTTAGAATTTAAAGAAACCAAATGTACGTGTTGCCAGTGTACTGTACTGTTATATATGTAGTTAGAGTGTGTGCATGGATGTGTGGGAGGTCGTGCAAGTCACTGGGTGATCGTCAATCACGAACATCAATGAACTCTAAACAACCATCTAGTGTAAGCTTAACTATTTACAAACATTACGATCGACCCGAATAGAACTCGACAGAAAAACAAAATAGGAACGATACAAAACGAGGCCCGCGGGCTTGATATAAATACACTCTATATACAGGCGGTCGGTCAGTCCTGCGGCTCCACGTCCAGGCCGTTGACCATGCGCTCGATGCTCTTGAGGTCGGAGGAGGGCGGCGTGGCGGACGTCGTGGAAGACGGAGCGTCCGCCGGGGGGTCCGCGGAGGCCGCGCGCGTCGGAGGAGAGCGACCCCCGGCCGTCGAGCCCCCGCCCGCCACCCGCGCTGGTGACGAGCTGAGCGAGCGAGCCCGCGGAGCGACCTGCTCGAACGCGGAACCTAACCCCGGCAGGGCGTACGGAGCGAACCTGTGAGTCTTACTGATCGAGGGCGCGGGGGATGGCACCGGCGGGGCGGGGGGAGGGGGCAGAGAGTACTGCTGCAGCAGAGGGTGCAGGTTGAACAGCAGGCCCGGGGGCATCTGGTGGTGAGGGAAGAAGGGCGGAGGGTACAGCGACGGCGGGTAGAGATACGGCAGGAGAGGCGGCTGTACGGGAGGGCCGAGCGATACGTCCGGCGCTGGCGAGGGTCTCGACGGTCCGGCGGGAGGAGACGGAGCACGACCTCCACCGGAGCACGAGGAATCAGAACCAGCCTCATCGGCGCCAGAGTCGACACCGCCGCTCGAACTGAACCAGGCTGTAGAGGAAGGAGGTCATTAAACTTAGAACTAGCGAAGAAGAAGTACTAGAATTGTACATAGGATGGGTTCTGTACTAACATGTTGTAGAGCATGTAGGAGGTGGCGGCGGGCTGGATGGTCCTCCTACATCCAGAGGCCTCTCGTCATCATCATCACGCGCGTCGGACCGCGCTGTCAGCAGCGCCTGCCTGCGGTACACGGACAAACTGCTTTTGTTACAATTGTGCTTAACATGTACTATGCATTTACATCTGGTAATCACATGAAACATTTGTACTAACTCGCTTTTGGTACATAATAACGGATGAGAGAAAGCATAAAATATGTTGCATACATTTATTCAGGATTATGAATTTGTTTGAATTGTGAAAAGAATGACTAAGATGCTACCTAATTATATGTATAAATATCACGACAGTTAGATAGATACGTAAATGGATGGACTATATTAAGTCTACCGTCTACGTTTATAGTTTTTAATATCCAAGTGATATATAAATTGAAACAGACCACTAGACTATCAGATCATCAGTCAGGGGTGTCAAACGGTTGACATTTCATAATAGCCCGCGACCCTCGACCGCCAAAGGTTAATCATGCCCTAATGATAGTGCCGAAATTCAACCATCGCCCTTTTCGTGTCGAACGTGTCATGCGAAAATACCTTTTCTGTGTTTTTTAGGAGTTCAATGATCCGTTTCACGAATGTCAGACGTAGAGCACTTTTAACAGTACACGTTCAAGCCAAGATAGGGTAGTTTCATATGGAAAAAGCAGACTCGACTAAGACGATAGTAGATTCTATTTAAATTTGGTCGCTGTCTTTGGGTAATGTAAAAAATATTTCAACAGTGAATTTCATATATTCTTATAAACAAAACATCCAATCCAGTGTCCGTACCCTCAATTATTCACCGTCTGCTTGAAAAACAAACTCTTTATTGTCCGCATTGTTCCACTGATCCCTAAACACGGTTCCCGCAAGCCCCTGATTACCGGGGTTCCGTACTAAATTCATTTTATTAACTCGTCTCATCGCCGACTGATAGAATTTAATTTGCCACCCCATACATTCCAGGGTTGATGTCTCTTAATTCAATTTACACTATCCCATTTTTGTTAGGATTGGATCACTTTGATTTTCGTTATGTACTTGTAACGTAATAAAATAATGATTAATATATTTCAATGGGACGATGGTTTGTAATTAAAGCTCATTGACAATTCGACTATTTCTATCTAGAAATAAGAAAAACGTTTACTGGGTGACACTAATATCAATTATATACAAAAATATTATAGTATATATGTATAAACAATTTCTTACTAACTTCGAATAGTATAAAAGGATTTGTCGTATTGAATCCCGTACTAATTTATGTAAATATAGCTATAATCTTTAACGTATGTTTATTAAATTCTATAGGTATTTAATAGTAAAACTTAAAATTAAATTATTTTCATTTTATTCATCTCAAACACAACATTTGCAGTATCCTCTCGCCAGCCCTGAGTTAAACTGTGCGCATTAGGGTGTTGCCGTTACAATGTAAACTCAGGGGTGGCTCGCCTTGTAATTTTACCAAATTTTTATCCCCAAAAAACCAGGAATCCCCTAAGCTTTGAGACAGGCGGCTTGTTAAAGAGTTTTTATTATTCTAGTGTGAAGCAAAGAGCACTGGAACTTTAAAGGAGCAAATGCATTGTTCCGGCCCGTTTAGACTTAGCTTTACGAGCATACTTTACTTATTATTGTAAGAAAATAATAATATACCTTACGATTTTATGCTTAAATTTCTTTACTAATTGTGTTAAATGATTTTCGTACAAGTTCAAAATACTTTGAGATTGAGTACATACATCAATTGTTGCATGTTGTAGTTCATTTGGAATCTAGTATGTCCACATGTATGTAAGTGTCCAGGAGTGTGTTAGCGTCATCAATTAGTTACACTAATTATTATGTTATTCCTAGTAGAACATCAAAGCTGACCTCTATGATGCAAAACACCGCAAAACAAAACACAAAGCAAACGATGAGATATGCACGGCATGTGTCCCCGCTTTTCAGAAGCGTTTGTCAAAACGCTCACGTTCCCAACGCTTCCGCTCGGCGGCCATTTTGAAAAGATGAGTTTCCGGCGTCCGGCATACGCCCTGTAATTCGGAAGCTGAGGCAACGTTCCGGTGCAAAATGTTGTGTAGGCGAATTAAAGATACCTTCCTCCCTTTAAACTGTGATGCGTATTCGGAAGGGACATACCTATTATACTGGCCTTTCCGACTGTCTGAATAAAATTTTAAACACCCTTAATTGCTCAAATCTTTATTTTTCCTAAAATATTTGTTTAACTTTCTAATATAGGATTAAAACTAACTTATAATTCGTTTTCTGAATAATTTAAGCAGCCCCCCGTAACAGCAGTATCTTCTATCGTCACTAATTTACATATCTTTGACCAAGTACGTCATCCGAAGTCATTCATTACCGGGCATTATTTTTTATGGAGCAAAGAAATAATATTTTTAAACTCATAAACATGGATTTCATATGCAAATGATTAATTACTGACAAATACACAAAATTTCACGAAAAAAAGTTAAGTTTTTACACGAATATTTAAAATACCTTTTTTTAATCGCATTTGTTCATATCGATACTAATTGTTCTCAATTTAACACACTTGAATTGTTGATTTCTTTCATTAATTTTTATGAATTACGTACACTGACCATGCTGAATGAAATAATAACCTAAATGAATGTTTGCATTCATAAAATGTTTAATGAAGTTGCACAGATGAACTTCAGAACTCAATAGAGATAATAAAGTGTTGATTAATGTTCAATTGCAATATTATAGCAACGAAATATATTTGTCTGTTTAACATCTTGCTCTTGAGTTGTTCCACGATTTGTCAGTACCGTGAGTCGTATCGATATTCAGAGTTGCTATCTAGACAGCACTTAAACAAATTTCTTGCATTGCCTCCGCTAATTGAATCCTCTTTGAATTTTAAATAAGTTGGCGGAACCACGAGCTATCCCTGCGGTAAGCTATCGAATTATAGCTACATTGGAAAAACTAAAGCTGATTTTATCGCGCAAATCCAATTTACTTTCTTGCACGCCAAAGACGTCGGAAAAAGCGCCTAGTCGTATGACTCCACCACTTTTGAATCGTTACCCGCCATGTTTGAGAGCTAACACGAATAAGGAGGTGCCGGATTGGTTTAATTTGAATTTCGAACGGCGCCGGGCTTGTTGGCGGGTTCGCTCAGAAACGCTTGTCCTAATTAATTTGGAGAGATTCACAGATAGCTGGCTAATTTTGTTAGCTGTTAACTTTACGTAAATAGTGAACTGTTTTTGCCGTAATTTATCTTACGCCTTTTGGTTGTTTGCGATTGCCACCTACTTCGAGGGTTTTAAGTTCTAACTAGCGGAAATTAGCACTCTTCATTTATTAGCTACGCTTACGTTAATATAATTTCCTTTGACGTCGTACTAAAAGGAATATTTGTTATAAATATTTAATACAGTATCTATCTAGAGATTATTATAAATAAATTTCCTTACGCTGAAAACAAAAGCGATTCTTAGAGAAAACTTAACTTTAAAATGAACTCGCGGAATGAAGACTTAAGGCTGTTTTACACTTTAATTTTATTTTATTTATATATCTTCGTAGTTAAATACTTACTTCTTTTCTCTCTTCCCAGCGCCAGTGTCCCTAAATCCTTTAGCGAACGGATTGTTGTCGATCTTCAGTTGGGTGATCTAAGAACAAATTTAAAAATTAGAAGATTTTTTTAATAAATTACTTTTCTATTGTTTTTTGTTTAAGTTCACTTTATGAGCACACTAATTATATTCGGGTTCTCATTATTAGTTTGGAGTTTTTACACCAAAATGGATGAAATCGTCATATAAAGTGGAGGTCGCTCGGAAAGTAAACAAAATTAGGACGAGATAATAAGCTTGTGACGGGTTGAAACATTTCGTTCCAACTGTTTACAGAAATTTTAGAGAACTAATTAAAATTTAACTTCATGTATTAGTTAGATGTAATCCAATATTTTGACTGTCCATCTCTTATTAAGCTTTTAACAGAATCGTAGTAGTTAGTTAGTAGAAAATGTTTTAATAGAGACATATATGTGTACTGTAACATTACCTTTTCATTCTGATACGCCGTGACAGCTATGAACTCCGTCTCCTTGAAGACGTATGTCCTGAAGGTGGAGTACGGCAGCTTCAAGATGTCGTTGGCTCGCACCAAGTGGAACCGGGGCTGGTACTTGTGCATCGAGTTCAGGATCGTCTGCGTGACACACTTCAGACAGCTTAGGAACTTGATCAAACTATTTATTACGCAACACTATAAGTATACACGATATATTAACCTAGTACCTAATGTTGGCATCAAGGGAAAAGTGTGAAAATCAATTGCTAGAGTTTTTCGCTAATAAGGACCAAGACTTTTATGAGAGAGGCATAATGAAGCTACCATTAAAATGGCAACAAATTATAGAACAAAATGTTGCATATTTGACCTAAATCGGACAATGCAAAACATGTTAAATAAAGTCTTGAAGTTCACGTAAAAATAATGGATTTCTTTTTCCCCAACCTTATATATTGTCACGATTTATCTGTTAGAAAATCCTTTTTGTTTGGTAGATTGGTTGTATTAAGTATGGCCTTCATCAGTGCAAAGACATGCTATTCTGCCAGTGTTGACAGGAATGTAGGAGACAGAAAATACTTTTTGATTTGACTTTATTTTGATTTATATTCTCAAAATAGAATTGTGATGTTAGTGTTTTTGATGGTCGGTCGTGTTTGATGTTTGTACAGCTGTCCAACTCTGACGGAAATGCATCAGGTTTAGATAGAAAATACGAAACTGAGTGAAAGGTTTTTAAAGTCTAGAAAGAATAATCAATAAATATATGTCAAATATATATTTATGTTACCGAGTACGGTCTAAATGTTTTTCAATACTAGAATGTTTAAAAATGAAAAGTCTTTCAACATTTGCTATGATTATTTTGATAAAAAAAATCATTGAAAGTTACTTATAGTACGTGGTAAACAAAGTAACTCTTGTTACTACGAAATGACTTTTAATCAAAACTCTTTTCTTTCGGGCTGAATTCATTTCTTTTATATAAGTTATAAGTTAATTGTCTTAGTGAATTAAGATTCAACTTTTAATTCACAGTTAAGCACTTTATTCACATGATCGATAATCATCGGTAATTTACTGTAAAATTATCAATAAAGTATACAAAAAACCACTCTAACTTCATCAATAACAAACCGAGTCCTAGCAAAGTACTGAATCGCCAAGTTACCCTGTATATCATTAAAGGTCATTATTGCAGGAGCTGTTGAATGAAACATGAGGCGATCGCGATCTTATGCGAAAGTAGCTGTTAAAGGAAATCAATCCTTAGTAACTCCGATAATTGTAGCTTAGGTTTTTCCTGCTCGAGTATTTGCTAATAACAGACTTTCCCTCTTTTATTCCGGTTTTGTTATAAGATTCGTGTAGTCAATGAATATTTAAAGTGTAACAGAGTAAATTATTCTTTTGTGCTCCACTCGCTTATAGTTTTAATTTAAAGCTACCTTTATTCCATTCTTATTTTACAAATATTGGAAGTCTTGCTTTGGTTGAGCACACGGAAATTTCTATAAGTTTTATTAATAGAAAAATATATCGACGAAAGAACAACATTTAAGTCAAACAGAGCTTAGTTATAAGTAAGAATTGCAGTTGAAATGTAATTATTTACTGTATTATGTTAATAGAAGTATTGAATATAATAAAATATTATTGATCCGTGTTTTCACGTGTATTTGAACTCTGAACCGAAGTTGGTTGTCAAAGCGATTTAAATATTCATTAAAACTGGGTTCGTTTCGGGTTTTTTACGTAATAACAGTGTTGACCCCTGCGGTTACGAAATTATATAGGTTATAGCATCAGCTCCCCCATAATAATCATGTGCTGGACAATCTGCCACCACGTACAGAACGTTTTAGAAACGCTAAGCCCGTACAAACTCTGCCTTAATCATATATATTGTTAACAAAATTTTTGATAAATAATTACGTCAAATATATTAGGCAAACAATTGTTTTCCAACGAAACCTAGGACGGAGTTGCATCACAGGTACTTGCAATGTGGAGACGACCAAAAGTTTACTTGAATCATGCCAATTAGTAGTGAAATTCTATAGACTAAATATTAATTATTGTGAACAGAGACGAAGAGAAATATGGCGCATATTTTCTTAATAATATAAATGCGAAAGTTTTGTATAGTTTTAAATATATGTTTGTTACTGTTAAAGGAATATAGCTCATACGTCAGAATAAGTAATACATTATATTGTATGCAGTAATTGAGTATTTTTATTTAGAAGTATACTTGAACAATTGTATTTTGTATGAAGACCTAACATAGTCTGTAGACAGCCTAGATGGCACTGCCATTTCGTTACTATATATATTATTTGAAGCATACATTATTCGCGTCTCTTTGAAGCCAATTCCGAAGTCCAAGCGGACTTACAAAGCTAGCAATCTATATTGTTAAGAAATATTCCAATTTCAAATCCTCCGACGTTAGATATAAGGAGAAATTTAGTTTCATATGTTAGGTATAGACGTTATACGTTTTAAAGGACAAATTGAATTTCTAATATAAACCTTTACAGTATACAACGAAATACCTTAACAATATATAGGACTTGGATTAGCTCACAATATTTACAAGAATCAGTATATGTTTTGGAAGATTAAATATATATAGTCCGTCAGCCATTTTGAATATATTTTACAAAAAAAAAAATATGTCAAAATCAAATGACATATAAAAAACTCCTTCATCGTAAGCTATGACTTTATATATACCTAAACTTGTTTGTCCGTCTGTAATATAAATAAACGATGTTAATAGGTGTTCCTTTTGCCTGATAAATAATGTAACACACATATATACATAATAAAACCTGCGTCGTCTCCTACAGCTCACAGACGCGTCAAGTCACGCTGCTATTTAGTATTTAAATTAAGATTCCAGACAGCTATAATCTAGATATGTACTAGAGCCATTGTTTCCGTCATATATGCTTTGTTGCATAGTATTTGTATGCAAATTGTATATTAAAATTCTTAGGATGTCACCTGCCCGGCTCTAAATCAATATTCAATGGCCGGTACTATTAACTCTATTACATTCTAGTCCAGTATTTCTTGTAATTTTCTCCTTCAGTTCATTAAAGCTACCGAGACATGGTAATACAGCATTGTCTGGGAACGGCTTCTGTGTGTAAATACGCTCCACATATATTTAGCATTTTTAAATAAAAACTATTCTACAATTCCTATAGCTAGCTATACGACGCGTCTACTAGTATACTTGTTGCATCTATGCTGTAATGATAGATTTAAAACTCGATTGACGACCGACCCTAGTTTGTTTTTGTAACTGTGCATGAGAAACAAAAAGAAGTACTTTTATTGACCAATTACATCACATAGCGGCTCTTGTGATTAGTTAATTTTTTTTAATACGATTGAATCATCCTATGAGGGCTTCCGCCGTTTAATGAGAATTAGTTTGAGTTGCTCCTTTAATAAAACAATTAAAACATGCACTGATTTTAGGGTCCGCATTAATGGCAACACCGAACACGCACTATTTAATTACTTGACAGTCTTACTTATACAGAACATAAAAATGTCATTACTATCAAGATCTGGAGCCAACTAACGAAGCGGTTTTTAAGATGGGTCCGTTTTGAAGGCGATAACATTAAAATAAAATTATAGATGTACCGTGAGGCTGCCTTAATTACAGATCTTCTATTCGACCGTCCAATTTCTTTAGTTTACGGCTGGACAACAAATTAATATGTAAATCGGGATGCAAGGTGGTCTGTCGATGATTTCGCTAGTCGATGGTCAGTTATCGACTTTTCTGCTCCACTTTGATAATATTGAGAAGTCTTTAAAGTATATTATGTATTACCTACGTATTTGGTATAAGAGTTGTAATTATTATACCAGCTATTTCACAATAGCATACATTTCATACAAGTTATTTATTGTTTATAATTTACATCCTTAATAAGTCACGGATATATTTTTTTATTGTAATACTAGTTTCGGTTATCGATACACGATTTAATTTATGGCCCAACCCTAAATACTGATTCGTCTAACGAGCGAGAGATGGCGCCAGCGGCTCGTCTTTTCTTTCGTCACGGACACAGCTAATAAAATAATTGTAGAACTCACATTAATAGAGACGTTCTGTTAAACGGATTGCGTGTCAAAATAATTTTCAATTCGTGACGTGTCCGAAATAAAACTCGTTAAAATATCACGTGTTGAACGTGCAATTAAAGATTTTGATATTTTTATAATTATTGTCCAACAAAATAACGTCTTTTTTTGGGAAAGGTATTTGATTGTGCCTATTTTTTAGGAAACCGAGACAATGTGAATTGATATTCAGCTAATTGGAATTAAAGTATCAAGATCGAATTGGTATGTGACAAAAATACCGACAAGACCAAAACTGCCGTATAATGTATGCTATTCGTCTCTAGATGGCGCTACCTGGAGGTATCCTTAACGTAATTTGTTTTTGCTTAATTGGAATCTTCGACTCCCAACATCGCTTAGTCGATCATATTAAAAATATTTCCACTGAAAATATAAGTGACCAAGCATGAAATATTTTTTTTTATATTTTCTCCAGGGACATTGTATTACAGAGGTCTCTTAATCTCATGTTTTGTTTCAATATGAACGTCGTGTCAATTCTACTTATGATTCGCGTCAAACGTCTAATTCGGTCTGTAAACATACGCGCCATAAGTCATATTAACAAACCAATACAGTGGGAGCGCACCGGCTGTTCATGTCTCGCTCTCACAAACTAGAGAAACCCGCAGCGTGTGCTTGTTTTCGTTTTGCTTCCTTTGAAATCTTATTTTGAATTTTATACCTATGGGGGCGTGGAGGCGATGTTGCACATTACGTACCTCTCTCTCCGTCGAGCTGCAACCGTCCCCTTCCATCTTTTTGTGATTTTAATTCTCAGAACGGCATCGAGACGTGACTGGAGTCCATAGAACTTTTTTATTGTAAATATTCCGAATTCGCTGGAAGCAAACACGGGATTTCGGCAAAGTCCTCCTGCTTATGCAGTATCGATTGAATTTGAAAATCCCTCTTGCTCTGATGTTCTATGTGTTCGGTTCCGAGGCGGATATTCGCAACTTCTATGCTATTTGTATTAAGTTTCTATA